GGATTGATTGACATAACTGCTATCGAGATAAAAAAGGTTCATTATTATATCAGACTTGTTTATTGTACGAAAGATTTTCATCACGACATCCTTCAATGCATATATTATGCTGCGAATTACCTCGATAGATTTTTTATCTCCATAAAGATTAGAAAAAACCCATAACAGGTGAATAAAAATGGCATTTATGTCGATACTTTTTTGTATAGAAAGCTATATAAAAGGTGTCCATATGAATACCATTTTTATTCCCCTCGATCTTTAGTGAGATAAATCGTGACTTGGTATATATGTATTGATAGATATAATGACGGAAACCTTTATCGTTGCTATATGTAATCGTCACAGGAAAATTGTTTATCTATTTAGCGAACTGCATAACACCGATATGATGTGATTATAAAAAACCCATGGTTCCGAAAAACGTACGTGAAACTTTTGTCAGAAACATTACACACTCATCATTAAGGACACGATATTTTCACAGTAATCTACAAATATTTTTTATTATCTGCTTGATTTCCCATCTCGTGATATTTTTTATAACATTTTTGCTTAATTTGATGCAAGTTCCTTAACTTGTCCGTAAACCAAGGTTGGTCGCGAGATGAAACAGTTATCCATTTATTAATTAAAATAGTGTTGGCTACATCCAAAAGTTTCTGTTGAAAAATAGTTACTTTGTTCTCACGATTGTTCTGCGATGCTAACAGTGAATTCCAGTTTACTGAAGATAGCTCAGACCTAAAAAGTTCTCAATCTGAATTTTTGTAATCATAAGTCCGTCGTTTATAAGAATATGGCACTTGTTTGAAGTTAAACAAAGTGAACTCTACCATACAATGATCACACGAACTGCATAAAGGAGATAAGACATTAACATTAGAAACAGACGCGATATTATCAGTAAATATTAGATCTAAGCATGATTTTGAGCTGAGTCTGGCTGGCTTAGAGGCAAGTTGAACTAGATCCTCATCAGTCGCAAAGTCGAATAGTTGAATCCCCTTCCTAGTTGAAGGTTTCGATGAACACCGTTTAGCACAATGACCGTCGAAGTCACCAATTAGTATTAAAGAGTCATTCGCCATAGACGCACTTGATCTAATTTTTTCCAGAACATCAGCTAAATGATCAGTAAAGTCAGGCATAGGAGCAAGCTCATGAGATCTGTAACATAGCCCTAGCAAACAGGATTTAGACGATGACAACTGGATAACCAAGAAACAAGTTTCAAATTTGGAATCCTCAAGAGGAATGAGCCTCTTGACCACAATATCACTTCAACTGTAAAACGATAATCCGCTTGCTGTAGATGTTCGATTCTTCTTAAAAATAGAATACCCAGGCACATTCAACGCATTATCTGAGTACAAAAACGTGTAAATAGGCTGAGATAAACTTGATGTAAAAAGAATAATTAAATAGCTTAAATCAACACTTTATTCAATAAAACCTCTACTATAGATCTTTGCTTTAACCTCAAGTCTTCCTCTCCAATTACTGAGAGAAACTCTTTCTAGAGAAGATTTTTATGTGATTTATCTTGCTGCCATTCATTATATTTCGTCAACTAAATGTTCAAACAACTATCGCCTCATTACACTTTAAAAAAATTACTAAATGTAATTAATATTAAGTCGAGTTCATATTCATATAAAATAAATTATATTCTCAAAAATTACGTAATTTCCATTGGATCTTGCATGTTTCGATTATATATTTGAAAATAAGTTTAAGGAGAAAATAAATTCTCATGTTCTAATATTTATGTATGATTATGAACAAAGTTATAAACAAAGTTTTCTTCAATCATATTTATTATCACCGAACTAGGTCGAGATATGAGTAGTAGAAAAAATTCTGTGAATTACTTTTTCGTGAAATTTCTTCGTAGATAATACTACAAATAGTCTACATAAATGTTTTTTTACAAAAAGTTTTCTAAAATGAAGAGTGAGTCAATTTATGATCTTATTCACTTCCTCCTTTAATCAAGTATTGTTGAATATGACATAAAGACGTTTAAATTTTCATGAACTTTTATTATGCTATATTACAATTAAGAGAAAAATGAATCAATACTTCTAAATATATCCTGTATGCTTGTTACAATAGCATGTAATGCAATTCCAATTGGACCTAGTAAAATTGCTGTAACTGCAACCTTCACTGCATCGATGATCCATCTGACAATAGTATCAATAATTTCTTTTAATTTATTAAAAAGAGATTTAAACCAATTTCCTAACTGTTCCAATGGACCATCAGGTGATGTTACTCGATTAACAAATTCAGCATAAACTCTTTCTTTTCGTACATAGTCTGGCTCAGATGGTTTAGGTTTCCGTTGCTTTACATCATGTTTAATTTGTTCGATTTCATTATTAAATGTTTGTTTTAATCTATCCATACGATCATTAAGTATTCTTTCTGCTTCATCAGCATTATTTACATGTCGTTTAGCTACTTTTTCCATTTGATCACATTCATCTTTCGTATACCTTTTAAGATTTTCGATTTTTCGATTAACTTCATTAATTTCAGACATAATTTTTGTTGTTCTAACTATAAATCTAATAAAAGAAAGAAAAAATACAGATTATAATTCTAATGCAGGATTTGCTCATATATAAAAGACTATTTGTAAGTCTTGCGAAATTGAAAGAAGTGAAGCAGCACTAGCATTTAAATGTTTATTTAAGATGTCCATTAAAAGAGTCTTCGTCTGAAAATCGACCTAGGTACCATAAGACCATCCGGAGGCAAGTTTTTATTTTCATTTCTTTAAATGCCATTAGAAAAAGCATTCAAAATCACCACTAATCTTGCAATAACTCATTCTCAGAGTACTTTATTAGAAAGTTAGAGGCAAAACATTCTATTGAGGGACGCCAGTGCACCCAATAAACGTGAATTTTCACAAACTTTCGTATTTTTTGATTTTCCAAAAAAAATCATAATAGCCCTATTAACCGTTCACATCTTATTTGAAAGAGGAATGTTTACTCTATAAAATCCTGTATTCAGCCATAGAGCTAGAAAAAGAGAAAAGTGAGAGATTCAGTATTTTGAAGTATCAACGTGAATTTGGTTTTAACCATAACGAAAAGACAGCAAAGAATTCCTCAATACTACTACATCATTGTAATATTAACGTTTTCCCGACTTCGCTCTTGAGAATTGTATTTCTCAATAGCATGCTGTTCTGATAATGACTGTTTTATTACGTCTCCTGTAGAAGTAACTTGAATTTGTCAAAATTCTAGATTTTTCGAATTTTTATTTTTAAACTGTTGTCATTTTGTAAGAATTTTAAATTCTATTCTACCTCATACTATTTGTTTGCTTTTTGTCCAAAAACGGCAAAAAAAGCTGGTGATAAGACTTTTTTTCTTTTTCTACTTCATCTAGTATTTTCACTACTCAATAGAATAAATATTGAAAAAAATCAAACTTTTTTACTCTTTTGCTTCTGAGAGCAACGTCTACTGTGAGTTTTTGCAAAACAATAAATATCTCTCTATAAATGATTAATTCTCGACATAAAAGCGTTCACTCTTTTATTTTTAGATTAACTGATGTATGTCGAATACTATTTTGTTCTCGCACAATAGTAAGTTAACTGTTTTGTTTTCGCATAAAGCGGCATGATGATTTTTGGCCGTATTATAGATGGTGTAGATTCACAAATGTTCAGCGAAAATATGGAGTGTATTGCAGTCAAATGCGAGTTAATTCTTCTAGGTTATAGACTTCTTGTTGTATACATAAGAAACACACAACGCTTCTAATTTCAGCTGTACTACTTATCATACTCATACATCCTACCATTTCTACTCATACATTATACATTTTCCTCCTGTTCATTTTTTGTTATTTTTATTTGTTTTCACTTTCCTTTTTCTCTGCTACCTCTCTTTTGTTTCCTTTTTTTATAGAACACACATATGTAAAACAGTCAAAATGGTATCATAGGCTTCTGCCTCTTTCTTTTTTGCGCTGTACTTTTCCCAGAATAAATAGGCTACAATTTATTTGCTAAGTAAAATTATTAAAATGCTAACGAGGAAACATATGTAAGTGTCCCCTCGCTTTTTGAACGAAACCTAGTGGGTTATAGGTTATCGATGATGCTGATTCCTGATTCCTGATTCCTGCTGGTGAAGTTATAGAATTTACACAAAGAGCCCTAAATTAATTTCTTCTTATTTCTGTAGCTTCGAGTTGACAATGAATATTTAGGATTTTTCTTGTAAATTCTATAACTTTGCAAAGAAAGGTCATGTAGAGCTGGGAGATGTCTCATTTTAATCAGAAATGTGCGGGCCACAAGCATGGCTTATTAAGAAAAGCTTTGAGTGCTTTTCAGAAAACTGGGTCTTCGAAGCCTTAAGGGCAACTCTCATATTCATATTCGGAATCAGCATCATCGATAACCTATAACTCACTAGGTTTCGTTCAACAAGCGAGGGAGCACTTACATATGTTCCCTCGTAAGTTGACTTTTGCCAAGTAAAATTTTTATCTGCTCAGTAAATAAATTAATTGCTAAGTGAAAATATTGAACGCTCGGTCAATTTATACTTTCTCAGTGATGAAAATATTTGCTAAGTTTGATGACTAATTTCTAAGTAAAATTTTTTTTTGTTAAGTTAATAAATTGAAATCATAGTTATAAAACAAAATCGCTAAGTGTAAATTATTAATACTAAGTAATTTCTAATAAAGACCAAGTACGATTATCTAAGATAGGATGAATTTTTTTATAGTGGAATGGGGTATGCATTTTCACTCTTTCTTTCCTTCTGTCAGTATTGAAGTAGTATCGTAGCATATGTATGTTCTACTATTCATCATGATGTAAGAAATGAAATATTAGATGACATCGACAAATTGCAACTATGTGAATCAGAAATAAGCTTTAGGAATGCATCAATTTTATTTATGAAGAAATGGAGCAAAAAAGAAAATGACTTTTCACAATATTTCGAAAACGAATGGTAAAAACTCGTAATTCATGGTATGAAGGATACAATAACTTTATACCAAGTACGAATAATTCATTGGAAGCAACAAATTGGGTCATCAAAGATGAACACACATTTAGAAAACCACATTCGTTGTCAAGATTTTTTACAATTGCAAATGATATTGTTAATAATTGGTCCAAGTCTCGTAATCGGAATCAAATAGATCCGATTTTATTTTCAACAGAACCAACAATTTCACTCAAAAAATGGACTGATGCATATCATTTCGCAAAATCCTCAAAATCAGTGTTACAAATACTAACTAAAACAAAAGGATTAACTGATTACTATATACCAGCTGGTGAGACAGAAAATATTACAACAAATGAAATATTTTGCTTAGAAAATTAAATAATTTACTTAGAGTTTAAATAAATTACTTAGCAAAAATCGAATTTTTTACTTAGCATTTAAATGAGAAATAATTTCTAAAAGAAATATCCATTGAGTGTTTGACGATACCATATTAATTAGATCTTGAATTAATAATGTACAAAAACGTGTAAATAGGCTGAGATAAACTTGATGTAAAAAAAATAATTAAGTAGCTTAAATCAACACTTTATTCAATAAAACCTCTACTATAGATCTTTTGCGTTAACCTCAAGTCTTCCTCTCCTATTACTGAGAGAAACTCTTTCTAGAGAAGAATTTTATGTGATTTATCTTGCTGCCATTCATTATATTTCGTCAACTAAATGTTTCAAAAACGAAAATCAGTTTTTTTCTTACTATTGTTTCTTTTTAAATGTGTGGATGTGTGAGTGTGTTTAGACAATGTTCTTTCTTCGTTTTCCTTGTACTCTCCATGGGTTAATCAAGATGGTTTTAAGTAAAGGGATGAACACATTGGAAGACCCCTATTGAGTGAATGATGCAAAAGACAGATTAGAAGACCCATAAAAGCTGAAATTTTCCGTAAGAATGCATTTTCCGTTACTCTTTTTTCAGAGCAGCTTTGATAAAGTTTAATGCAACTGGTAAAAGACAAACGCCTCCACCTGTTGTCCTAATTCGAACTGCCTTTGAGTCAGAACTTATTAAGAACCCTGGAAGAATCTCCCATAAAGCTTCTCATGAAACTTTTACGTGGACATAATACAAAACCCCTCTAAACGTTTGGAACGATGGTACAAAACAGAAGACTCCGGGTCATCTAATCTGTTGACCTCTTTATATCGGTATATATTTAGGAATAAGAGTCATTTTACATACAGTCTATGGCAAAATGTGACGTTTTTTTCTATGTTCAAACGATATATACAGGTTTTCAGAGATGTTATAATCCAAATACGGTATGTATCGGGAATGCTAGGATCCCAATCCCACTGCTGCACGTATCGAGATTCAGTTAAAATACATGCAAAGTAAAGGAATGTGAGTAATGTTACACACACAAGAGTTACACACACTTGCGCACAACTGGTACCAATCAAAACTGTCTTCTAAGATAAATTTTAATTTGATGCGAGAAATAGTCGTATTTTGAAAATCCATTATCTCAAGAAGGATGCACTCGTTTTGTCTGAAATTTTCAGGATATTCTAGTGTTTAAAAGACCACTTTATGGACAAAATTTCCGATCCAAAGTCACTCATTTACTACCGCTACTCATATGGTGTCATAGGTCAAAAACCAGTAAATTGGTCATAACTCCCTCCGAAAGCAATAAGGGTACGAACCAACCTAGGGTATTTCACTACTCACTAGGGCCTACAAGATAAAAGTAGTCCGAGTCCAAAAGCTTTTTATCACCTCGAGAGGTTCCGTCGTCAGATATTTCATCGAGCCAATTACATTTGAGCACTTTACTACAATGCTATTTATATGTTCTTTTCAACTCGAATTGGGTGTCAGTATTAGAACTAAATGAGTGTGCTTATCGACATAATCTAACTAGATGTTGTTAATAACTAGTGGTGGAGCTGTCGCCAACGGATCTAACGGGTGTTCGAAGATAAACTGCACTAAATTCTGATGCATTTTTCTCTCATTTCATTTATGAAAAAAATGCCCTGAATATCAAACGATAGAGAATTTCAAGCTCTACAAAACTTTTGACTTTGTGTCACAAACAAGTTTTGCTTGTTGGCGTAAAATTTAAAAGATGAACATCTGCTTAGTTGTCCAACTGCAGCGGTGAAAAAAACGAAAAAATGTGGAAATATTTTTAAAATGAAGGTCCTGTTGAAATATCAACTATCTCACGAAATTCTCCGTAAACTTTTGCAACTTTGAATGCATGTTTCAGAATTTTAGAAGAAATATTTTTGAAGAAGAAACAGTTTTGAAGTAAAAAGTGTGAAAATGCCGAAAAAAGTCCTTTTCTGGCAGATCTATGCCATTGTTATTTTTTAATTCGAAACAAGCTAAATGTGTTCACTGTTCAATTTAACACTTACACCGTTTTGTTCAGAATTAAATTCTACATCCGATGGCATAATAATAAATCTCTCGTAGAGCAAGTCTGGTTTTTGAAAACACAGTTTTCCAAAGTGCACTCAAAAATACTGACAGGTGTCAGTTCCAAGTCTTTTTCTTCTGAACACCAGCAACAGGAATATTGAAAAGATGGTGAAAGTATAGAGCACAAAATTCTCTATCTGTTGGTATTAAATAATTTACTTTTAGCATCGATCTTGATGAGCAAAAGCTTACATAAATCAATAAATGCCAGCAGAAAATAGGAAATCACAGTTGAATGATTGAGTAGACGTGAATCATTTTAATTTGGTGGCGATAAGAAAACTTTGTTTCAAAAACGAAGTCATCAGTTTTGTAGAACTTGAAATTCTCTACCTTTTGATATACAGGGCATTTTTTCCATAAATGAAAAATGAAAGAAAAATGTATCAGAATTTAGTGCAATTTATCTTGGAACACCCGTTAGCGTAAACAACATTCCTGCACACTCTTTCACAGTTAAAAACAGTGCCCATTTCAGCGACCATGCAGCGATTTCAGCAAGATCTTGATTCATAACTTTGACAGCAGTTGTGATGTCAGTTGCGACTATGTATAAAGACACTTCATTTGCGAATAATTTACAAGTTGATCTAACCGATAAAGGTAGATCATAAATGTATATTAGAAAAAGCAATGGTCCTAACACAGAACCCTGGGAAACTCCGCACGTCACAGATAGCTCATCCGATGTATTTCCGTCAACCATAGTCACAATGCGCCTGAATGATACATAACTGTCAAACCACCGAACCAGCGAATCAGGTAAGCCCTTACTGAGAGGCTTAACCGGTAGTCCACTATATGAAACCTTGTCGAATACCTTACTGGAATCCAAAAACGCTGCTGGTACCAGGTTGACCTCATTCAAACTATTAGCAATAAAATCAAGTATTGAAATTAGTAGATTCACAGAGGAGTCGTGAGGTATAACGCAGACTGGTTTTTACAAATTAAGTTGTTGGTTCTTAGAGAACTGCAGACATGTCGATAAATGACTCGCTCAAAGATTTTTGCTAAAGTTGATGAAAGTGTAATGGGGCAATAGTTGTTTGATGATTGAGGATCATCAGATTTGACTGGTACCAGCCAAAACCGGCCGACTGATAACCCTCGATCGGAACTGGACAGGGCGCTCGATCTTGTTGAGAGGATATGGTAGCTTTAAATATTAAGAACATAATCTATTACTTAAATAAGTATCATTCTTATTTATTTTTATTTCAGTCCTTTTCATCTGCACAGACATGTTGATTAATAATGATACTCTATAATGCAGCTTTATAAAAATCGACCAATAGCGATACTGGAGAAGTTGTGCGGAAGTGTGTGTAACTCTTGCGCCTAGCTTCCCCGAACACCTTTTTCTTTTTCTGTAGTGGATTTAGGTCAGCAACATCTGTCCCTCCATATATAAGTCGCGTAGCTTATGACACTAAGAATAAAAGACTTAAACACAGAATCAAGAGTTTGTCTTGAAACTCTTCTACTCACGAGGGAACCTCTCGAGGTGATAAAAAGCTTTTGGACTCGGGCTACTTTTATCTTGTAGACCCTGGTGAGTAGTGAAATACCCTAGGTTGGTTCGTGCCCTTATTGCTTTCGGAGGGAGTTATGACAAAAAACCATATGAGTAGCAGTAGTAAATGAGCGACTTTGGATCGGAAATTTTGTCCATAAAGTGGCCGTTTGAATACCAGAGAATCCTGAAAATTTTAGACAAAACGAATGCATCCTTCTTGAGATAATGGATTTTCAAAAAACGGCTATTTCTCACATCAAATTAAAATTTATCTTACAAGACAGTCGTATTTTGAAAATCCATTACCTCGAGAAGAATGCACTTGTTTTGTCTGAAATTTTCAGGATATTCTAGTATTCAAAAGACCACTTTATGGACAAAATTTCCGATCCAAAGTCACTCATTTACTACCGCTACTCATATGGTGTCATAGGTCAAAAACCAGTAAATTGGTCATAACTCCCTCCGAAAGCAATAAGGGTACGAACCAACCTAGGGTATTTCACTATTCACTAGGGTCTACAAGATAAAAGTAGTCCGAGTCCAAAAGCTTTTTATCACCTCGAGAGGTTCCCTCGTGAGTAGGAGAGTTTCAAAACAAACTCTTGATTCTGTGTTTAAGTCTTTTATTCTTAGTGTCATAAGCTACGCGACTTATATATGGAGGGACAGATGTTGCTGACCTAAATCAATTAAACCAGATACAGTATCAAGCGTGCTTAGCGGTTTCTGGAGTCATGTGAGGAATATCACATGAAAACATATTGTACGACTTGGGATGGCTAGCAAACCAGGATCTTATTTACGTTCGTCGTCGATTGTGTTTTCTTCAAAATAACGTATGGAAAAACAGCTAGTTGCCATATAACGATCTAATCTCGTATTGTTTCACAACCGACTTCGGTTTTATCAAGATAAGATTAAGCCTTCAAGAACCACTGTCATCAATTTATTATGACTGTCACTCCTTGTTATGCTCTACTGACAGTTTATGTGAACCGAATGTTGGTAAACTAAATCTAGAGGTAAACTTACTTCAGATAGTTGTTGTGTTTAATATATTAACGATGATATTTAGACCATAACTTGATGTTACTACTAAATGTTGATGTAATTGAAAAGACAATTTATACATATTTTTTATCTTATA